CCCACCCCACCCCCACCCCATGCAGCTGAGGTTCAGAGAGATTATGTAGCTGGTACGAGCTCACGCAGCTCGTGGGAGGCAGAACCAGGGTCTGACCCCAAAAGCTTTAGGAGAGAGCCCAGCCAGGCCCCCAGGAGCTCGGGTGAGGGCTGCCCCCCTTCCCGGTCTCCGCGCAGCTGTCACGCCCACCCGTTACCTTTCTGGTCCACCACGGCTGCCCTCAGCACATCGACCAGCTCCTCCCGACTGAGGTTCTCCGGCCGCAGCAGCCCCCGGAAGGGCTGCTCCTCCAGCGGCCCCGATCTTTTGCTGGGGCCTCGGGGTTGCAGGTGATGCCTGGAAAAGGTGGAGTAAACAACGGGGGAATCACTGCTTCCCGAGGTGCCGCCCACTCTCATCTCTACACACCTCTCCCCAAACCCTGCCGCCTCCTACACTTGCCTCAGAATGCGTAGGCTGAGCTTCTCGAAAACTCAGGTTCGACCGGTCCCATTTTACAGAGGAGATAACTGAGGCTCAGAGAGGCCGAGTGACTAGTTCAGGGTCACACAGCAGAGCTGGGATTAGAACCCATATCTGCCTAACTCCAGATCCCGCACACACCCTCCCCTGGCTCCATTCTCCCTCCCACACGAAGGGGGGCGCGTAATCACCGGCCCTCGGTGCCAAAGTCTGCGGTCCTGGGCGCTGCGCAGAGCCCTGGACCCCGCCACCAGCCACCCCAGACACGGCCCAAAACACGCCGGCTACCCATCTCCTGTGCGAGGACAGCGCGCATGTGCAGAAGGGCAGCCCCGCCCATAGCACGCTCATTGGTCGTATTGACTGTCAATCGGAGTAGCGGGGCTCTCGGCCGTGAGAAGGCGGAGCTTTGCCGTCGCCCTGGAGGGAAATGCTTAAATTCTTGTCTGTACTTTGGAGAAACTAAGGCACAGAGTTTACTCTACTCGGCCTCAGAGAACCTGTCTTAGGACAAAACCAGGACAAAAGGTCAAGGTTTCCTGATACCATTTGCCATTTTAGGAGCCTTCTGACTTCGGAAAACCACCGCTGTGCACGATTTTGTAAAGCAAATAGGAAAAAAAAAATCCACATTCATTGGTCCAGTAAATCTGCTTGGAAGAACACAGCCGGGTGCATAATTCAAAAGGAAAAAAAGGCCAGAGGCAGAAAGAGGTTCACTACAGCATTATTTATTAAAGCAAAAAGAAAACATCTCAAAACTGGAAACAAATTGTCTTGTGATTAGATCTATAGGGGAAATATATCTAACATATCACCCATTCAACATTTTTTGAATGCTAACTCTATGCCAGACCTTGGCACCCGGGAACTGGAAACAGATCAACAAGAATCGGGCCCCATCCGCAAGAAGTTCATCGAGTTGACACAGTTAAGGTCACAGCATCACAACCCACCTAACTAACTGCTTGGGAGGTGCTGAGAGGAGCGAGGAGCCGGGTGACAGCAGAGACAGCTTCCCAGCAGGGGCTGTGATTGACGGGCTGTGAAGAACCAATAGAAGCTCACAGGTGGAAAAGCTGTCGGGAGGAGGAGGGGCCCGAGGGAGGGAGCAACGAGAGAAATGAGGAGTAAGCGAAAAAAAGCAAAGAACAAAATGGGGCCTATCCTATAATTACAACTATAGAAAAGTTACGTGCAATCTGTGTATTTTTTTAATTTACTAAGAGCACTATAGCTTTCAATTCTTTCTTTGCGTTAGTGAAAGACTGCAAATTAACCCAAATCTGTTAACAGGGGAGCCGCTAAGTCAGCTGTAGCACATACACACGCAACGATTAATTGAAGAAAATGTGGGTCTATATATGCTGATATGAATCAATCTCCAGAATATATTAAATCAAAAAATCAAAGAAGGACAGTGTGACTAGAATATGCATACATGTGTGTGCATGCGACTTATATATATACTTATTATGTTTATATACTTCTGCATTTCCGAAAGGACACACAAAAATGAGATGGTGGGGCTTCTGGAGAAGGAATCAGAGGTGAGAAGACAAATGATTATTTTTACCCTTTGGAACTGCTTAAATGTTTTACCTCATTGATATATTTCTTTTTCACACACACACACACACATACACTCTTAGGTTAAAAATCTAAGCCAGATATAAAAGACTGTATGATTCATAAAAATTTTTTCAATAAAATTTTTTTAAACAAAAATAGTAGAAATACATTTTTTAAAAAAGATTGTGTGATTCTATTTACTTGACATTTTAGAAAAGGCAGGGGCAGCCCGGGTCGAGTGGTTAAGTTCGTGCGCTCGCTTTGGCCTCCTGGGGTTTCGCTGGTTAGGATCCTGGGCACGGACATGGTATCACTCATCAGGCCACACTGAGGCGCCTCCCACATAGCACAACCAGAGGCACTCACAACTAGAATATACAACTATGTACTGGGGGGATTTGGGGAGAAGAAGAAGAAAAAAAAAGAAGATTGGCAACAGATGTTAGCTCAGGTGCCAGTCTTTAAAAAAAGGAAAAGAAAAGGCAAACCACATCAGAGGAAAAACATCAGTGGTTGCCAGGGGCTTGGGGTGGGTGGTGGGGTGGGGATTGACTAGAAGGGAGGCGTAAGGGAACTTTCAGGCACGGTGGTTAGGTAACTATGTATATTTGCCAAAACTGAATTGAACTATATACCTTAAAAGGGTAAGTTTTGTTGTATGTAAATTAGACCTCAAGAAACTTTTTTTTAATTCAAAGATTTAAATAATATTTAAAAGATGTGCACAAATATAGACAGGACTGGCAAGAAATCTGGCGCAAATGCAAGTGGTTTTATCTTGCTTGGGGCTTGGATGTTACTGTGCAGTGTCGCAAGGCCCCATGGTATTTTAGAATCCCTCTTCTGAAGGGTCTCCTGCACGGTCATAAGGACCAGCTTGAGCAAAGATGGGAAGACGAGAGGCGAGGGGCCTGACCCAGCCCGCCTTAGCTGCAGCAGCCCTCGCCTGGTCTGGCAGGCCTTGGCCCCAGAGGGCTCATTCCTGGACGTGGGCCAGCCCAGGCCCTCCTGCGCTCCTGAGCTCCGGCATTTTCCCTTCACGCGCTCCAGCCTCATCGGAGGCTGCCCTCTCCTGTTCACTGCCCACAGCTGGTACGACTCCGTTAGCCTCCAAGCTCCCGGAACAGAAGGAAGAACCTGATTTTCCCTGGGCTGGGAGGGCTCTGGTCAGTCACTCAAGCAAGACACACTTGAGAAACTCTGAATCTCAGGAGGAGGGGAACTGGGACAAATTCCAAACTTCTGCCACCCTTAGCTCAACTCAGTTTATGACCAACTTCACAGGAAGAGCAGAGAGGTCACAGACTCAGCAAGGCTTGACCAGGAGTCTCTTCTGTGCTGATGTTAATGTCATGCCTCCTCACCGGGAGGCCCTCTCCTGGAGCCGGGACACAGGCAGCCAGGCCTGCAGAAGAACAGGAAGTCTTCTTCCCAGGCTCTGCAGCTCCTCCCACACATTGTGTGCATCGCGCCCCCCCCCACCCCCCCACCCCCCCCACCCCCGCAATAACTCTCCAGCTCTAGCTCTGGTAACACAGGCCTTTGTCTTTGTGTTTAATGACCCCAAATAGGCTTTATAGTAAGGGTCAGAAATGAAGCATTTTCACATCTGAGCATCACAGACTAAACACAGGCACTACAGACCCAGGCTTTCATGCTTGTCTTGTCCAAGTTGCCCTATACTGAAAAATGCCAGCTCACACTGATGAGAAATGAATATAATCTGGGGCTGGCACCATGGCCTAGTGGTTAAGTTCAGCACACTCCGCTTCAGCTGCCCAGGTTTGCAGGTTTGGATCCCAGGTGCAGACCTACACCACTTGTCAGCCATGCTCTGGCGGTGACCAACATAGAAAAAAATAGAGGAAGACTGGCACAGATATTAGCTCAGGGCTAATCATCCTCAGCAAAAAAAAAAAAAAAAAAAAAAAGAATATTCTTTGTGGCTCCCTAATAGCTCTTTTTGAAATCCTGAGGTTGTAGGTTCTGAACATGAAAGATAAGCTGTCTGGCAGGCCAGGGAAGGCCCTGGTGGAGAATGTAGTACAGCTTGATTGGTGCTTTCCCACCTAAACTCTTAAAAGGTGGTGACAAAACTCAACACTGAGAAAACAGAAGAGTGCCTTAATCCCCTGCTGCCGATCGAAGCCCTTCTCATAGGCACTTATTTTAGAAATTGTCATTTATCATATTGATCACATGGTCTGTTCAGGTCTTTAATTAAGCAGACATTAGTTCTAGAATCAACGGCAGGGTTTTTCCTCTTGTAGAAAAACTGCTGTTTCCTGTAACCCCACATCGTGGAGAATGATTTGACAATGGATTCCTCTCTTCCCTTAGGCCTGCCAATCTTCCAGATAGAGCCCCACCCACCCTCTCCCCCAAAGAACACATGCAAAGAAGATATATCAGCATAAATAATTCATTGCAAACTCTCTAATGTCATACCCTAGTGGCTTGACGATTCACTCAGGAGTGTTAGGGGTGGGGGCAAGGAGGCAGGACGTGTGATGAAAGCAGAGCACGTGCAGACAGGTAGCAGAGGGGCCGACTGCGCGCCTCGCCTGCTGGTGCCCAGTCTTGGTCAGCTAAGCTCCCTTGGGCAGGAAGAAGCTGGGCCAGACCAGGAATCTTCAGTTCTCCCTTGCTTCCTCATTCATGGCCTTGCGGGGCTGAGGGAGGGGTGGGGAGGTAAGAAGTTTTCTAGCCGCTGGCTTGCGAGTGCTACCAGCTGACCACGTGGTCCACAGTCTAGATTTGGCTGGGGAAGGCCTCCAAGGACTTGGGCCTTCATTGCATTATCTTCAGACAGGCCGGGATGAGGGCTGGGGCCTTGTCCTTGGGGGGCTGTCCTCCCTCTGGGGCATCCAGGAGCTGCTGCATGTAACAGGAGGTGCCGAGCAGCATGTGTCCTGTGGCCTGCATGCTGAAGAGGGCCCAGCGAAAAGCTTCCCTGGGTGGAATGAGAAGGGACTAGCGTCAAAACAGGAAGAAAACCCCGGCATGCATCCCCCAAAATGCCTCCTCCCCCATGCTCCCTTCATCATCTCATAAACTGTAGAGCGAGGTGCAAACAGGAACAGACGCTGCCTTCCCTCAGCAAACGGGAACAGGTCTACATGCATTACCTGCAATTGTACCTTAATCGAGATGCCCGTAACCTCCTGATTTTCTCGTGCAAAATTCAGGCTCATTTCATGAGGCCTTTTATTTTTGTGATACTGCCATGGACCTGCCAGATTGATCTACACAATATGGCTCTGCCCTTCACGACCTCTGTTCTGGACTCCAAGGCCTGTCTAAGTCATTTGCAGTCTAGCTAATTTTCAGAGTGCTGGATGTGAAGATCTCCATTCCTGGTGTTACAATGTACTGAGAGCAGAGCTTGTGTCCGACAGGCCTGCATTCCCATCCGGTCTCATTAGCTGTGTGAACCTTGGCAAACTGCTATAGATCTGAGCTTCTGCTTCCTCATCTGTAAAATGGGATCCCACCATTTTGATCCTCACAGGGCTAGGAGGTTGAAATAATATAAATCACTTAACATGGGACCTGATGTGGAGAAGAGCAGGAGAAACATCAAGAATAGCTTGTTGGAGGCTTGACTACTTTAACCAAGCTCTTATCCAAACCTGTTTAAAAGAGATAGGTGAGGGTCACTAGGGGTGTCTAGTCCTGGGGGGAACAAAACAAAAATAAAAACTTCATGGCTGGTACTAACCCTTTAGTCCTCTGTTAACCTCCATTCAATAGAGGAACTTACATTATGGTTGACGTGGAGGGCGGCAGAAAGATAATTAGAACCATAAACATCTACACAAGAAAATACTTCAAAATTTTAAAGGCTATACCCGAGAAGTATACCCATTTCTCAAGTGAGAGAACTGAGCCTTAAAACCGGCTGTCCATCCATAAATAGGAACGAAATTCTGAGACATGCTATGACATGGATGAACCTTGAAAACATTATGCTAAGTGAAATAAGCCAGATACAAAAGGATAAATATTCCATGATGCCACGTGTATGAAGTAACGAGAACAGTCAGATTCACAGAGACAGAAAGCAGAGCAGAGGTTACCAGGGGCTGGATGGGGTGGAGCGTTAGTGTTTAATGGGTACAGAGTTTCAGTTTGGGAAGATGAAAACATTCTGGAAATGGATAGTGGTGACGGTTGCACAACATTGTGAATGTAGTTAATGTCGCTGAATTGTACACTTAAAAGTGGTTAAAATGGTAAATTTTACGTTATGTGTATTTTACCACAATTTAAAAAAAAAAAAGCAAACACCTAGCTAACACCACTCACTCACTACCCTGATTCCAGCTTGCTGTCCTTTTTTTTGATACCAGTATGTCTATTGTGTTTAGGTCTGAGAGTCCCATCTCCCCTAAATGGACTGAGTTTAAAGGCTGAAACTTCTTGCTCTAGATTTTGAAATCTGCAAACTGCTGGCAGCAAGCCCAGACCAAGAAGGGCATGACATGGTACAGCAGGAAAATGGAACCTCTAGCCGCACCATGAGGCTCAAGCCTGCCACTGAGTGTCGTCCTGGCAAGCAGAACCCTGCAGCCTCAGGTCCCTCATATGCAGGTTGGGTATTCAGAGAACAAACTCAGAAAGCCAAGAAGGTCTAATACGCTGTAGCTACACACATTCCGGCAGAACTCTGGGGACCCTGAGCAGGATTTCTCAGACGCCCCCTGAGAACGAGTATCACCCGTGTCTTCCTTGGTCCTACAATTGTTTGAACTATTGCTATGTGCCAGCATTAGTCAAGGTACTGGAGGCAAGAGAAATTCTTGCCCTCTTGGAGCTTGTTCTGATCGCTTATCTCTCTATCTTTAGCTTAGAGCATAGGCCAGGCACACACTGGGTGCTCAGGAAACACTAAATGAGGAGGAGTAGGATCTGCCAGAAGAAACTGATGAGACGCCACGCTCGGCTGCTCACTAGCTTTGTGGCTTGGGCTGGCTGGATGCCCCTGCCTCAGTGGCTTCATCCATCTAAAGGGGTGAGAATTCTCTAGAGTCCCACTGGAGCAGCTGAATTGAGGGAAAACTACCATAACAGTACTTGTCTCAGGATTTAACATATTCTCATGCTTGATTATACTTTCAAAAGTAAAGTAGAAAGTTAAAAAAAAAGTTCACTAGACAATACAAATGACTATTGTCACAGACACGCAAATTAATTCTGTCCAGTGGAAGGACAATGATTTCATCCTTCCTGCTCCCTTGGAAAAATCCACTTTTGTGTCTATAGATTTATCTCAGCACTCTCAATGGACTTATATATGGGTGGGATTTTTGAATTCTCCTTTGAACTGACTGCAACCTCTTACTGGTTCTCTCATTAATTAACGAGTTCAATAAAATCTTTGATACATGTTTGCTTTTTAAAAGTCGATTAGAAGACTACTTAGGAAAACTTACTATTTTAGGTGGAAAAAAATTAGCTGTTATAGTGGAAGGTAATTAGAAAAACTAAGTGTATCCCGGTTCCACCAGGAGGAGTATGTGCACCCCTTTGGCATCCACTAGTGTAAGCTGAAGTTCAATCATAATGTTCTAGACCAATCTAACTGTCATGCTTTGTCAGCATCAACACCAGTCCCAGGCCCTAGAAGGCTGAGGTCCATGTGAGCAGACAGGGGCTCTCCCATTGCTGGTACCCACCCTGTCCCCAGCTAATCCCAATTCACTCACTTCACGATGCGCTTGGCCCTGTAGCAGTGCAGATCATAGGAAAGGGAGTATGTGCCGTAGAGAGTCGCCTTCACGTTCAGGCAACCAATAAAGTCCTGTGGGTTCAGCTTGTACAGGTCGAAGGTTATGCAGGCCACGTCGATCTTCTTGGCAGGTTTATGGGAGAGAGAGAGTTGGTACCTAGTGCCCTGCATCAAGACAAGCAGGTGGTTGGCACTCCTCAAGGACTTCTCCCAGACTCCCAATGTGCTCTCCCCACAGGTGGGACCTCACCTGCTCTGACGGGGGCTGCCATTTCTGCCCCTTCTGGAGGACCATGAACACTGTGTTGTCCGCCAGGGCTTGGAAATACTCTTCTGTCTCTACAGTTGTGCCATCTTCCTCTAGCACCAGGGAGAAGGGCTTGTCTGCCAGCGTCAGGGTGTCCCGGACCTGGAGGATAAGGGCAGTGATGCTTCTGCCATCCCCCTGCAGCCACAGAACTGCTATGGGGAAGACTCACATCCCATCACCTCAGCTGCCAAGGAAAGAGCAGGTGGGCTGGGATCTATGGGATGGGACTGGAAGCAAGGCTCTTGCTGTGGGATCACCATCCAAAGACTGTCCCATTACGGTACCTCTTGGTACCTGGCTTCATGGTTAATATTCTAGAACAGTGCTGTCCAATAAAAATATAATAGGAGTCACATATGCAATTCTTTAATTAGATAAATAATTGATATATAATTCACATGCTATGAAATTCACCCCTTTAAACTATACAATTCAGTGTTTTTTAGAATATTCACGAAGCTGTACAACTACCACTACTATCTAATTCCAGAACATTTTCATCACCCTAAAAGAAACCCAGTACCCATTCGTAGTCACTCCCCATTCCCAAACCCATGGCAACCTCTACTCTGCTATGAATTTGCCTATTCTGGACATTTCATATAAATGGAATCACACAATATGTGGTCATTTTAGACTGGCTTCTTTTACTTAGTATGTTTGCAGGATTCATCCATGTTGTAGCATGATTCATTCCTTTTTCTGGCTGAATAATATTCTATTATATAGATGAACCCCATTTTTAACCCACTCATCAATAGATAGACATTTGAGTTGTTTCCATTTTTTGAGTATCATGAATAATGCTGTTACGAACATTCATGTACAAGTTTCTGGGTGAACATATATTTTCAGTTTTCCTGCGTATCTAACTAGGAGTGAAACTGCTCAGTCATACAGTTAACTCCATGTTTACCCTTTTGAGGAATGTCCAAACTGTTCTCCAAAGCCGCTGTATTGCTTTCTGTTCCCACCAGCAACATATGAAGATTCCAGTTTCTCCACATCCTCATCAGTGCTGGTTATTGTTTGTCTTTTATTTTAGCCATTCTAGTGGATATGAAGTGATTTCAACTCGCATTTCCCTAATGACTAATGACGTTGAACATCTTTTCATGTGTTATCAGCCATTTGTATATCTTCTTTAGAGAAATGTCTACTCAAATCCCTTGTCCATTTTTAATTGAGTTGTCTTTTTATTGTTGAGTTATGAGTTCTTTATATATTCTTGGTACTTACTCTTATTAGAATGTGATTTACAAATATTTTCTCCCATTCTGTGGGTTGACTTTTCATTTTTTGTTAGTGTCTATTGCTGCACAAAGTTTTTAATATTGATAAAGTCCATTTTTTTTCCTTTGGTTGCTTGTGCTTTGGTGCCATATGTAAGAAACCAAGGTCACGAAGACTTATATCTATGTTTTCTCATAAAAGTTTCATAGTTTTAGCTCTACATTTACTCTTTGATCCATTTGACTTAATTTTGTACATGTGAGGTAGGGATCCAACTTTGTTCTTTTGCCTATGGATATCCCATTGTCCCAGCACCATTTGTTGAAAAAAGTATTCTTTCTCCATCGAATAGTCTTGGCAGCCTGTCAAAAATCAATTGATCATAGATACTTGGGTTTATTTCTTGACTTTCAATTCTGTCCCATTGATTCACTTGTGTTATGGGCTGAATTCTATCCCCTCAAAATGAGTATGTTGAAGTCCCAAACCCCAGTACCTCAGAATGTGACTGTATTTGGAGATCAGGTCATTAAAGAGGTAATTAAGTTAAAATGAGCTGATTAGGGTGAGCCCTAATCCAATAAGACTGGTGTCCTTACAAGAAGGGGAGCTTAGGACACAGAGACGCAGTGGGAAGACCACGTGAACATGAAGATGGCCATCTACAAGCCAAGGAGAGAGGCCTCAGAAGAAACCACTTGGCAACATGTTGATCTTAGACTTTTGGCCTCCAGATTTGAGAGAAAATACATTTCTGTTGTTTAAGTACCAGTCTGCAGTGCTTTGTTATTTTAGCCCTAGCAAACTAATACAGGGTGTCTATCCTTATGTCAATACCACAGAGTCTTGATTACTGTAGTTTTGTAGTAAGTTTTGAAATCAGGAAACGTGAGTCCTCCAACTTTGTCTTTTTTCAAGATTGTGATAGCTATTCTGAGTCTATTGTATTTCTATACAAACTTTAGGATCATCTTGTCAATATTGACATAAAGAGTACCCGGGATTTTGATGGGGATCGCATTGCAACTGCAGATCAAGTTGGGGAGTATTACCATCCTAACATTAATAAGTCTTCCAATCCCTGAGCACATTTGTCTTCCCGTTATCTAGGTCTTCAATCTAATTTATTTCAACAATGTTAATTTTCAATCTATAAATCTTATATTTTTGTTATATTTATTATTAAATATTTTATTCTTATCAATGCTATTATAAATGGAATTGTTTTAATTTCATTTTCAGATTGTACATGGCCAGTGTACAGAAATACAATTGATTTTTGTCTATTGATCTTATATCTTGAAACCTTGCTGAATTTGCCAATAAGCTCTAATTGTATGTGGGGGGATGTATGTGCGTGTGTATTCCTTAGGGTTTTCTATGAACAAAACCATGTCATCTGCACATAGAGACAGTTTTACTTCTTCCTTTCCAATCAGGATGCCTTTTATTTTATTTCTTGCCTAATCACCCTGGCTAGAACCTCCAGTACAATGTCGAATAGAAGTGGCAAGAGCAGATATCCTTATCTCATCCCTAATCTTAGGGGAAAAGCTTTCAGAATTTCACCATTAAGTATGATGTTACCTGTGAGTTTTTCATAGATGCTCTTTAGCACACATAATGTAATTTTAAATTTTCTAATAGTCACATTAAAATAAAAACAGGTGAAATTGCTTATATTTAATTCAATCTAAAATATGATTTCAACTTATTGTCAAGGTAAAATTCCTGAGATTTTACTTTTTTTATATAAAGTCTTCAAAATCCTACATGTACTTTATACTTAAGCACATCTCAATTTCAACTAGACATATTTCGAGAGTTCAGTAACCACATTTAACTAGTAGCTACTACATTGGATAGTGCAACTCTAGAGCTAAACAGATCTAGGTTTGAATGCTAGCTCCCCTACTCCATTATTCTGAATTTAAGCAGGTTATCTCATTTCTCTGAACTAGTTTCATCATCTATAAAGTTGAGGCAAGTACAGTCTTAGAGTCCTCACAATGAGTAAATGCAAAAGTGTATGAGATGACAGCCTGGGTTTAAATCCTAGTGAATAGAGTTGGCCTCTGCCTGCAGAAAATGGGAATAGCAGTAACTACCTCAAGGTCATGATTATAAGAAATGCTATAAGTCACCTGGCAGAGAACATGGTCCATAGTGTGCGTTTACAGAACTTTATACAATACTGATTAAAATGGAAAGAGAGGGGCTGGCCCCGTGGCCGAGTGGTTAAGTTCGCGCTCTCCGCTGCAGGTGGCCCAGTGTTTCGTTGGTTCCAATCCTGGGCGCGGACATGGCACTGCTCATCAGACCACACTGAGGCAGCGTCCCACATGCCACAACTAGAAGGACCCACAATGAAGAATATACAACTATGTACCGGGGGGCTTTGGGGAGAAAAAGGAAAAAATAAAATCTTTAAAAACAAAACAAAACAGTGAGGTTATTTAATAAATAAATAAATAAAATTGAAAGAGACCCATGACATGTCATAGAATAAAAGTTCAGGCTATAAACTACATAATCCCATTTAAGTAAGTTATATACAAGGATAGATTATTTAGGACATTCACGACCACATCAATAGTTATCTTGGAATAGTAGAATTCTCATTTTACTTTTTTGCTTGGATTCACTAGAGAACATATTTTCCTGCTTAAAATCCTTCAATAAAGCCCTGAGATGAGCAACACACCAATAGCAATGAACATACCTAGCTCTCAGACCTTGACTTCTGAATAGCATTCTCCATTAAAATGAAGTGGACCTCCTTAGGAAAAACGGCCAACTCAAGGGCCAGGGCAGGAAAAGCACAAGACGAGCCTACAGTACCTGGTTGTGCCCCAAAGTCAGGAAGCACTCAGAGAATCATGGGGACATGGCAAAAGGCCACAGAGGCCGGCCTGAAGGCAGTCCCACTGGCCAAGTCTGGGACAATGTGAGCGTCAGCAAATAATCTGTTACCATCCTTATATCCTATTAAAATAGGAATATTTGGGTTGCTTTCAATATACGTAAACGAATAAATTGAAAGTAAGATACAGAATGACATATTTACTTATTACAAAGTACCTCCCTGGAAAATAAACACAAAGGGAAAAATAACTTTACACAGAGAAGCCTGACTGCACCTCCTTATTCAAACAAAGTTAAACAGTAACGTGACAAATCAAAACTGTATGCAATTTTGCAGTGACAACCTATTTTGATCGGATTCCTGCCAGATACACAACGTGAGTCAAGGAAATAGACAATTGCAAACTGAGGGATGATAAACAAAATAACTGGTTTATAATTTTCAAAAGAGCCAAGGCCATTAAAGTCAAGGAAAATTGATGAACTGTTCTAGACTGAAGGAGACTAAAGAGACGCACAATTAAATAGAACATTTGGTCCTGACCTGGATCCTTTTTTTTTTTAAAGATTGGCGCCTGAGCTAACAACTGTGGCCAATGTTTTTTCCTCTTCTTCTTCTCCCCAAAGCCCCCCAGTACATAGTTGTATATTGTAGCTGTGAGCGCCTCTGGTTGTGTTATGTGGGCTGCCACCCCAGCATGGCCCGACGAGCGGTGCCATGTCTGTCTGTGCCCAGGATCCGAACTAGTGAAACCCCGGGCCACCGAATGGGAGTGTGCAAGCTTAACCACTCGGCCACGGGGCTGGCCCCTGACCTGGATCCTTTTGCCATAAAGGACGTTATGGGGAAAATTGGAAACACTTGAACAGAGTCTCAGGATTAAATCGTCATGTAACACTGTATGTTTCCCAGTTTTTGATGGTCGTGTTGTAATTATATAGGAGAATATCCTCGCTTGCAGGAAAGACCACTGAAGTATCCAGGAATGATAGGCATCAGGTTGGCAACTTCCCCCCTCAAGTGACTCAGGAAGGCTTGTGCTGTTCTTGCAACTTTTATTAGTTTGAGATTGTTTCAAAACTAGTTTTTAAAAAAGCCTCCAATGGCTTACTGTTATCTTTTAAAATGAAACCCAATTGTTCCCTGCCGTAGCCAATGCAGAACTTCGTACTCTGATCCCCTGCCAACCACATCACCTCACGCTCTCCCCCTCGCTCTCTCTACTCCTTTCTTTCTGTTACCAAACTTGGAAAAGCAGTCTAGATAGGCTCACGTCCTCCTGTTCTATCGGTAAGATTCACTTCTGGCTGTATTCCGTCTGGGAAAGATGGACCCTCACAGCTGTTCCTCCCGCATCCACTGGAGTTAGGACACTGACTAGGAGTTCCCAGACTCAGTGGCTACGAGAATCTTCTGAAGAATCTGCTAAAAATGACAATTCAATTCCTGGGCCTCACTCATGACCTAATCAGTCTCAGGGGGTTAAGTCTGGGAAGCCAAGCATAACAAGGCCATTTTGATGCAGGAGGTGGTCCCCAGACCTCAGGGTAAAAAGCAGTACTCAGTCTAGACTCGAGTGTGAAAGAGCCCTTTTTTTTTCTTTTTTCTTTTTCTTTCTTTCTTTCTTCTTCTTCTTCTTCTTTTTTTTTTTTTTTTGGTGAGGAAGATTGGCCCTGAGCTAACACCTTTGCCAATCTTCCTCTTTTTTTTTCCTCTCCAAAGCCCCACAGCATAGTCGCATATCCTAATTGTAATATGCGGAATGCTGCCATAGCATGGCTTGATGAGCAGTGCTAGGTCCGCACCCCGGATCCAAACCAGCAAACCCCAGGCACGAACCTAACCACTACGCCAATGGGCCGGCCCCTGAAAGAGCCCTTTTGATTCAAGGCACAAGAAATGTAGTCAGGCACAGCCAGAAGCCTCACAAGGGATGGGAAATTGGTTCCCGGGAGAAGAACAGACCTAATTCAGAGAAATGGGGCGGAACCAGGAGTAAAGGGTTAGGTCAGCGATGATTTATATGTTTCCTCCAATAACCAGAAACCTAATGCAAACATTTGATCTGTACCAGGCACTTGGGCTTACAGATGAGCAGGGGTCCCACCTCCCGGAGCTGGTAAACTAATGGGGCAGTGAACCACACGAGTAAGACTCAGCCAGATTAGATGAGGCTGTAGGAGGGGCAGTGGGAGGAGTTACCCCCAACAAGTGCAGAGGGAGCACGGAAACGGGGAAGAGTATCATTCTTGCCTGCTGTTACCAACATCCACAAGAGCTGTGTGTCCTTGGTCTCCTGCTCTGGAAGCTTACCTGATCAATAGTTTGAAGAAAGCCTTCCATAGCTACTAACAAAGCCTTACACGGAAGGCCAGCGTAGGAGACCGACCGGAGGAAAACGGCCCTGGCTGAAGGGAGGAGGTGGGGAAGAAATCTCTAAAATCTTGCCCATTTCCCCAACTTCCCCACGCACTTCTACAAGTTTAAGAACTACTGGAAAAGGGAACCTAAGGGTCCTTTCAGTGAGAAAAATATGCTCTGAAAATACCACTGACCTGTTGTTAGTATAGGATGCCAATATACCGCCCTTCCCCTGTCACCAGACAGAAATCACTAATCCATTGGACAGCACTCCAGCCAAGTGCTACCACCCCAACAGAGCTGGCATGAGAAAAGAAATCTTTTCACCATCCAAGCCATGAACTCCACCCCTGCTGAACTCCCAGCTTGTGACCTGGAGGACAGAGGCAGCCGGCAGGGCCAGTTCTCGGCCAAGTCTCCAGTGGTTGGGCTGTGCTGAGGGCGGGCCCGTCCCTCACCTTGTGGAGGAGGTCCTCGAGACTGTGCGCCATGATACCCTTCCTCACACTCCGGTCAGCGGTGCTTACTCTGTAGGGCCGAGTCCTGGGGGTGGCTGGGCTAGGCTCGGACAACAGCTGCTGGGTCACCACCGAGGTGCTCACTGTCGTACACCTGGGGGCAGTTTGGAGCATCAGAATGAGCTGTCTGCTCCCTCCAGCCCTCTGCGGGGTAACTCACTCCCCCAACCCTCTAGGCTGAGCTCATCATATTCCTCCTCCCTTACCACCCACCAAGCCTGCTCCAGGTAGTCTTACTCAAAGGCCTGCCAGATCAGTGCATCTCAAACTGTAGCGGGCATGTAAGCCCCCTGGGGATACTGTTAAAATGCGGATTCTGATTCAGTAGGTCTGAGGGGGTCTGAGATCCTATATGTCTAATAAGTTCCCAAGTGATGTTGACTCCCTGGTTGACACTGACCATGAGGAGTAGCAAGGTGATAGGAGACCCACCCCACATTTCCCCAGTTACTGCTTTCCTCTCTCGGCCTCACTCTTCTCACCTGCAGAGTGAGATGACGTGGCGAAGCTGAGGTCAATGTAAGGTGGTTTTGAATTCTGACGTACCCAGTGTAGAAACAAAGGAGTGGAGGAAGCCTGGGTTTTGGAGTCAGACAGACTCAAGTTTTAATCCTAGCTCCACTACCCATTTGCTAGGTGATTGAGAGTGTCCACTCTGTGCCTCAGTTTCCCCATCTATTAATTTGGTATAATAATCTCCATTTCCCAAAGCTGCGGTGAGGTTTAAAGGAGATCAAGAACAAAAGCATCAAGCACAGTGTCGATCTCTTTCTACTCAACGTGTCATGTTGGTGGAGTGGGTACCATCATTAACGCCACCTGAGGACTTGTCAGAAGTGCAAAATCTCACGTCCCACTCCAGACCTCCTGGAGGAGCCTCCACATTTTAACAAGATGCCGAGGTGACTTATGTGCCCATTGAAGTTTGAGAAGGTCAGCCCGACAGCCCACAAGCAGCTCCCTTTCCTTCTGCCCTTGGCTTTCCTCACCTGGAGAGGGACTTGGGGTAGAGAAGGCTGAGAGACTTCATGGCATATTCCATCCTCGTCAGCTGGACCTGGGAAGGAAGCAGAAACAGCTGTCTGGGGTGGGATGGGAGGGTCCCCTCTCTCTCGTCGTTTGACACAAGTCAACCCCTCCCGCACCCAGCAAGCCTCCGGTCTGGTTGCCCCTCTCAGCTCACACACACTTTCCCCAGCCCTTCTTCTGTCCAACCCTGTGCACACCAGCTGGGACCAAGCTGGAGACCCCTCAGTGCCCAGGCTCCGCCCCTCTCAGCAGCTGCTCCTCCCTCCCCAGGACTACTCACTCCATGTTTCTCTGACCCTGGTCTGGTCATACTGGCCAGGGATCCCAAGTCAGGACTGAGGAGGCCCTGCCTGGTTAGTTCCCATCCCTGGGAGCAGAGTCCACTTTATGCTGGCAGGAAGTGAGTCATACCACCTCACACTGCTGGGGACCCTTCCCTCACCTGTCGTCCGGAGACCTCACAGGCCAGGCTCACAAGCCACACAGCCCAGTCCAAGCCTGCCCTGTCCTGTGGGTCCTTGAGCCACCCATACCCCTCCTGAGGCTTCCCACTGGCCAAAGGGACTTTCTGCGATGATGGAGACATCCTATATCTGTTCTCTCCAGTACCGGAGTTACTCGCCCCATGTGGCTACTGAGCACTTGAAATGCGGCTAGAACAACTGAGTTGGATTTTTAATTTTGCTTTATGTTAACTAATTTAAATAGCCACTGTGGCTTATGGCTACTGGCAAGCACACTGGACAGCACAGCTCTAGCCGACAGCCCTGCGCTCATCGGCCACTTTCTCTCCTAACCCTCTAGGCTCAGCTCCTGCAAGCTCCAGGCCTTTGCGCAGGCAGCTACCTTCACCTTCAACGCCTTCCCCTGGCCCAGGGGGAAACGCCGGCAGTCTCCAGGCCCCAGTTTTACTGCTTTCCACTTTTTGGGAAGCCTTCTTAGACGGCTCACAGAATTTCCCCTTCATCCTGTCCTTCCTACTTCCTATCCAAGTGCGCCTGGCTGTCTGTTTCTGCCTTAGGCCCCAATCCCTGGGCGCCTCGCCCAGAGATGTTCTCCCTATTCCCAGCACAGAGCAGCCGGGCACAGAGCAAGGGGCTCAAGGAGCGGTCATGGAACAAAAGCCCCCTCTCCAGGCAGGTAAAACCACTCTCCCCTCCTAACAACCTGAGGGACTCCCCAGCCCAGCCCTATCTGTGAAAGCTCCTCCCTCACTTAGCACTGCTCAAGCCTGCCTGCTTCAACCCCACTCCTCACTCCCTATCTGGAGCAAAACTCGGCCAATGCCTGCCTCATCCTCTCTCCAGGAGCCAAAAAAATCCCCACAACAAAAAACTCCTTACCTCCCCCTCACAGGCTCCTAACCTCCTTATGATCCTGCCTGCTCAGCCCAGCCCTCCCTCCATTTTATTTCCAGCTCCCAGGGAAGCCCCTCCTCCGGCCTCCAGCCCCATCTGGGGAAAAGAGCATGCACAGCGAGAGCGGGGCATGGCCTTTGGGATTTCAAGCCAGCCTCACTTCCAGAAAAAGCCTGAAAGGAGGGGAGGAGGCACGTTTCGAAAGCTCTGGGACAGGGTACGGCCCAGGATGTGCTATCAGGGACAGAGGGCACAGAAAACAGGCAGATGTGGTTGTGGTCCAGCTCCACCCCATGTTCGCTGTTTGAATGCAGACAAGTTGTCTAACCTCTGTGACCCCAGTGTCTCTCACCTGTATAACAGGGATGACGAGTCCTGTGTTAAAGGATTGAGGTGAGGATTCACGATAATAAAAGGGCTTTGCAACAGAGACAATATAGAAGTGAATATTGGTGTTATTGATAATATAATCATTTAATAATAGCACAGACCAAGACTAGCTGAAAGGTGTAGTGGTTAAGAGTGTAAGATTTAAGACTGAGCAATTCTACTCATAGATATATGTATATATATCTCCACGAGAAATGAAAACATATGTCCACACAAAAGTTCGTAGCATTATTCATAATAGCCAAAATATAGAAACAACCCAAATGTTCATCAACTGATGAATGGATAAAAAATGTGGTAATCCATAAATGGAATATTATTTGTCAATAAAAGGGATATATGCTACTACATGGATGAACTTTGAGAACATCATGCAAAATGAAAGAAGCCAGTCACAAAAGATCACATACATGTTTGTATGATTCCACTTGTATGAAATGTCCAGAATAGGCAAAATTATAAAGACGGAAAATAAACTAGAGGTTGCTTAGAGCTGGGGCTGGGGCGTGGGAGGAGAATGGGAGTGACTGCTAATGGGCACAGGGTTTCTTTTAGGGGAGACAAAAATGCTCTAATCTATTAATCCAATCACAGTCTATTTTGGTGATGGTTACAACCCTGTAAATATACTATAAACCATTGAGCTGTACACTTGAGTGGGAGAATTGTGTGGTATGTGAATTATATCTCAACAAAGCTGTTTTTTAAAGAAGAATTCGTTTTTCTTTTAGCACAGGCTTTTTCACACTAATGTATCAGAATGACTGGGAGGGCTTGTTAAAAATCAGAGTGCAGGGGCCAGCCGGGTGGCAGAATAGTTAGGTTCCTGTACTCCGATTCAGGGGTCTGGGCTTCAAGGGTTGGGATCCCAGCGTGGACCCACCCACTGCTCATCAAGCCATGCTGTGGCAGTGTCCAATACACAAAATGGAGGAAGACTGGCACAGATGTTAGCTCAGGGCCAATCTTCCTCACACACACACAAAAAATCAGATTGTAGGGCCTCACTCAAGAGTCTCAGTCTGGGGTGGGCCCTAAGAAAGAGTGTTTCTAACAGATTCCTAGGTGATACTAAAGCTGAGGCTACTTAGGGACTCCACTTTGAAAACCAGCAGTCCAGCACTTGCTGCATGACGTAACTCTTCTAAACCTCACTTGGATCTGACGAATGGGGATTAAAAACAGCTCCCATCCCACTGGGTTATCATGAAGATTAAATGAGATAATCATGAAATGTACTTGCTATAGAGCTTAGTGCATCCTTCAGTAAATAGCTATTATTATTATCATCATTAAGATCTAACTCCTTTCTTGGAGGAGCTTCCAGGCAACCATTACTCATTCATTCAGCAAATACTTATTAGGCACTTACTGTGTGTCAGCTCTCCCAGGGGCCAAGAATACAGCAGGAAACAAGACAGCCTTGGCCCACACTTCAGGAGGCTGAGATTCCTGGGGTAGTGGGGAACTGAGACTATGAACAAATATGCAAATAAACAAAGTAATTTCAGATAATGATGTTCTGGGAAGAAAACAAAACAAGGTCATATAACAGCAAACGGCTGGAGAGCTGGATTGACCTGTGGGCTGAGAGGAGGTGAGCTTTCGGCTACACCCTGACCGGTGAGAAGCCAGTCTTTTGAAGTCCTGGAGCGTCTTAGTCTGTTTGGGCTGCTCTAAGAGAAAACCATAGAGCCGGGAGCCTGGAGCCTGGCAAGTCCAAGATCAAGGCACCGGTAGCTTTGGTGTGTGGTGGGGGTCTGCTTCCTGGTTCATAGACACCCATCTTCTCTCTGTGTCCTCACATGGTGGAAGGGGCAAGGGGTCTCTTTTATAAGGACACAAATCCCACCTCCTAAAAACCCCACCTCCAAATACCATCACATTGGGGTTTCAACATATGAATTTTTAGGGGGACATGAACATTCAGTCTATAGCATTCTGCCTGGGACTGGAAGCCAGTCTTTTGAAGTCCTGGGGGGAACATTCAAGGCAAAGGAAACATCAGGGCAAAGGATTTGAGAAGGGAATGAGCAGAGTGAGGAAATAGGAGCACAAATTGCTAAACTTTAAGGCAGTGCAAGAGCCAGAAGAAAAGTACAAACAAATACTTTAGGGAGGAAGTTCTGGGGAAAGGGTTGGGGCCCCTCCCTTGGACATTCACTCCTTAAACATTTACTGAATGTCCAACGTGTGCTTGCTGACCCATGATAGGCCAATGGATGACTCAGAGGCAGCCTGGCCCTGAGGAACTCCCGTGCAGCATGAAAAGCAGACACAGAAAAGACAAAGGTAACCAACCACAAGCTAAAGCCGGAGGGCATAGGCCTGGGTGGAGGACGGCTCAGCGAGCCTGAGGATTCTCATGGTGCTTAGGAGAAGAGGATCCTTTGGGCTCAGTTGGAACTTATTTATTCAACAAGCATTTCTTGAGCTTTTACATTCTGCCAGGCATTATTGGGTTGCTGGGGACACAGGTGACTCCTTTCTTGTCCCTCTCTTTAGGGAGTTCACATTCCAGTGGGAGACGCAGATGTCTGAGTACGGTTCTCAAACTCTGAAGTGCATAAAAATCATTTGAGGGCCGGCCTGGTGGTTCAGTGGTTAAGTGCGCATGTTCCACTTTGGTGGCCCGGGGTCTGCCAGTTCGGATCCCGGGTGCGGACATGGCACCACTTGTCAAGCCATGCTGTGGTAGGCATCCCACATAGAAAGCAGAGGAAGATGGGCACAGATGTTAGCTCAGGGCCAGTCTTCCTCAGCAAAAAGAGGAGGATTGGTGGCAGATGTTAGCTCAGGGCTAATCTTCCTCAAAAAAAAAAAATCATTTGAGACACCTTAGAGTGGAGAAGGACTCTAGCTGTGATTCAAAATTGAGAAGCCAAAAAAAGAAAGTATTATACATTTAACTACATAAAAAAATATTCTGTGTGTTAAATTTGTAATACCATGAGCAAAGTCAAAAGACATACAATAAATAGGAAGAGTACACCTCAACTAATATCATAGACAGGAGCCAATCTCCTCTCGGTCTCTGTCTCTGTCTGCCATTCCCTTTCTCCTTCTCTATCTGCATATAAATTAAGACAAACAACACAGCAGAAAAATGAGCAAAGAATATGAACATAGGTCAGGGAAATGAAATACAAACGACCCCTAAACATGGGAAAAGATGCTTAATCTCGCTTATAGAAATAGAAATGCATCTTAAACTACACTAAGATGCCAATCTTCACCCACCAAACTAGCAAATGTTGGCAAAGCTGTGAGTAAACAGGGAGTCGGACACAGCCACACACTGCTGGTGAGAATGTAATTGAGATAATCCCTGTGGAAGGCAATTTGGCCACATCTACCAAAATTACAAATACTATCTATTTTTTTTTCCAGCTTTATTGAGATGTAACTGACATATAACATTGCATAAATTTAGGGTGTAGAATGTAGTGAATTTATATATGTATTGCAAAATGATTACCACAATAAGGTTATTTAACATGTCCATCACCTCACATAGTTACAATTTGGGGGGACAAATCTACTCTCTAAGTAGATTAATTAGAGAGTAGTTACAAATCTACTCTCTAAGTAACTTTCAAATATGCAATACAGTATTGTCACTATAGTCACCATGTTGTACATTACATCCCCAGAACTTATTCATCTTATAACTGGACGTTTGTACCCTTCGACCACCTTCATTCGTTTCTCCCATTCCTCACCCCCGACAATCACCAATCTGTTCTGTTTTTATGAGTTTCATTTTTTTAGATTCCACATATAAGTGAGATTATATAGTATTCGTTATTCTCTGACTTCTTTTGCTAACATAATGCCATCAAGGTTCATCCCTATTGTCACAAATGGCAAGATTTCCGTCATTTTTATGGTTGAATAATATTCCGTTGTGTGTGTATATATGTATATGTGTGTATATATATATCACATTTTCTTTATTCATCCAACAATAGACATTTAGGTCTTTTTCATGTTTTGACTATTGTAAGTAATGCTGCTGTAGATATAGGGGTGCAGATCTCTTTGAAATAGTGATTTCATTTCCTTCAGATATACACCCTGGAAAGGAATTGATTACATGGTAGTTCTATTTTTAATTTTTTGAGGAACTTCCATATTGTTTTCCATAGTGGCTGAACCAATTTACATTTCCACTAATGTGCACAAGGATTCCCTTTCCTCCACATCCTCACCAATACTTGCTGTTATCTTTTTGATAACAACCATTCTAACAGATGTGAGGTGATATCTCATTGTGGTTTTGATTTGCATTTCCCTGCTGATTAGTGATGTTGAGGACCTTTTCATGTACCTGTTGGTCATTTGAATATCTTTGGAAAAATGTCCATTCAGGTCCTTTAGCCATTTCTAATCAGATTATTTGTTTCTTTGCTATTGAGTTGTATCAGTTCCTTGTATATTTTGGATATTAACCCCTTATCAGATATGTGGTTTGCAAATATTTTCTCCCTTTCTAAAGTTGCCTTTTCATGTTGTTGATTGTTTCTTTTGCTGTGCAGAAGCTTTTTAGTTTCATCTAA